CAATTAATACGCGAGTATAATATAGAGGCTTTTATTGTGTAGGGTCACTGGAGTCTTATTTTGAAAGTCTAGCAGGGTTGTGTGTTGAGAAAAGGGTCAGACCCAGCAGTGATACTTGATGACTCTCCAATAGTTAAATCACTCTTTTCCCTTGTTATTAGGGCAGTAGATAAAGTGGCAATGGGAGGCTTTTATTTTGAAATTTTCTGTGGGGTGTGTTTAGAAAACCCCCTAGAGTCTCATTTTTAAAAAAGTGGTTGAGTTTGGGTCATAATGTTTAGCCATATGCTGGGAAAAAAATATAAGTTTAATGTAGGGGCTTTTATTTTGAAGGGTCCCCGGAGTCTTATTTTGAAAGTCTATCAGAGTTGGGTGTAAAGGGAAGGGTCATGGCCAGTAGTCATATTGTATCCATTTCCAAATGTTAAATCAGTGTTGTCTCCCTCCATTAGATTAAAATGTGCTGTTTAAAGTAGCAGAGGTAAAATCCCTTTGAAGCTCGGTTACCTTGACAACGCTTAACGAGCCTGTCAGTGAAAGAGAGACATGCGCTTCACTTTCGTTTCTTTCCTCTCAGGCTTTTTTGAATGGGAATATCAGCTCAGAACAAACGAGTGCTGAAGACAAACCGTAAATGGTATCTAAAAGATTCTTTCAGTCTAAGCGACAGCTATCCTTTGTCTCCAATTGGGGTAACTTTCATGGCTGTAGCTCATTCACAGCCTTAATGGGAAGGAGAAATATAAAGGTTTGTAAATCCTGCTGGTCTCATTAAATAACATGGAGTTCCATGGTAGAGCTCAGCTGTCAAAAGCAAAACTTTCCCTCCGAACAAACGAGTGGTGAGCCAAAACCGTAAAAAATTCTTTCACTGTTGGCGTCAGCCATCCTTCGGGTTCGACTGTGCCAACTTTCATGTTTCTACTAAAAACTACTTGGCCACGGTGACGATGTAAAAATGTGTTTTTTCTGAGTATGACGATTTTTCGCTGAATCAACGTTTTCCTATGCCCGAACAAGTTAGCTAAACAGCTAAACCATAAATGATATTGAAGAAATTCCTTCAATGTGAGTGCTACAAGGGTCTGAAGATGTTCTATACCAAGTTTCATGTTTGTACATCAAATAGTTTAGAAATGGGTGCGATACGAAAATATGTATTGTTTTGGCTTTTGTCTGTGATTTTTTGAAAGTCTCTCTGGGATTTCTATTGGGGAAGTGTGGACTTCTTCGCGGTCTGGGCCAAACTGTCGTAAAACTGTAAATGCCACACAAATGAGGGTTACATTTCCTGAATCCTGACAAAAATCCCTACGTTTTGATGTATAATTTATTTCAATTGAGTGAAAAATAAGGGAGTGAGAACAATTTGTTCGGAAAAACTAGAGCAGCTCAAACGCTAGAGCACGCACTCTAGCAGCTGAAGAATTCCGTCCATAGACTTCCATTATAAATCTGAAAATCTTAAAATTTTCTTTTAAAGTTTGAAGCTTCACTGAAGCAAAACTGTAAAAGTTAGCAAAAAGCTGAGTTAAACAGTAATAGCAGAAAGATACAGAAACATTTTAAAAGTTGAATGGTGTTTCTAGCTAAACGTATGTTGAAGCAGTTAAAGGTCAAAGATGATTAAGTTTTAGCTGAATTTTGCTGAAATCTAAGAATTCTACATGCATTTCAATGGGACAAAAAAAAAAGCAGAAAAAGCTGAATATCGCGAAAACTACTAAAAAAATATCTTTACCAAAAGACATAGCACAATTCTCCTGAACAAGCTGAACGTTTTGATACCAAAATTGTTGAAATCGGTTGAAAACTGCGGGACTAGTTAGAGTCAGAAAAATCAAAAGTGAACCACAATAAGTGGGAATGCATAAGCATTCCCACTTGAATACTACAGAGAATAAATTCCAGGATCAGAATGTTTAGGAGATATAGTTTAAACAAAAACTGTGAAATGTTTACAGAGCCGTAAATGTTAAGTTTATATTTATTTACAAATTACAACTGAACTCTTCACTGAGCTGTTACGAGTCCTGGGTTATTTTAACTCTTAGGCTCTGCTAGGCTCTGCCTGGGTTGTAAATGTCTAACTTCATTGGCACTGCTTCTCCTGTTAACATGGTAAAGCACTCCAAATGATCCGGCAGCAGGCTGCACGTGATCCAAATAATGCAATGAGCTGCTGTCAGTCTGGGTTGCTGCTGCTGCTACTTTTAGATACAGCAGGCAAACCTGTGGCAAGCCGGGAGATGGGAAAGAAGGAGAAGATGATGAGAAAAAGAGAGCAGAGAAAGTGTGGAACGGAAAAAGTTCCTTTTCTTTTTTTTCTTTTTTTTTAAGTCAAAGTATAACATGGATGCAAAAATACCAAATTTTATTTCAGTGTTAAATTCTGTTTAAAGTAACAAATTATAATTAAAAATGTTTCCGAACATTTACTGGTTGTTGATTTTCTTTATTCAGGCCCCGCTGATTTTTAATTGGTTACCACCGGCGTAGTCCGTTGTCAGATTGTTCCACTCACTGGTTCCTGACGACTCTGGAATATTCTCTTCCTGAGGAAGGAAAAACAGAAACTGGATTAACAACCAGGTTACTCTTTGCTGATCTCTGCATAAAGACCAGGCTGTTCGGTTTTGGGGTTAAAACTGTTGCTTATTGAGATATAAATTCTGACTAAATAGGAAACATCTTCTCTCTTCAGAGTTTAAAAATGTATATTAACGTCAACATTCTGTAATTTCTCTGACAGTAACTCTGAGTTAATCTCAGGACTTGAAAATAAACCCAGAAGCTGTGTCTCATGAAACTCTGCTGTTTGATATTCAGCCTTCAGCCACCATGAACAGCCTTGCATTAACGTCAACCTGCAGGCTGTGAACTCTGAGCTATTAACTTTCTCTATTTAAACACAAAAGTCTGGTGGTTTGTTAAGGATTCCTTCAGACCGAGTGTGATCAAGGGCTGACTTGGAAAGAAGTGTCTTCCAAAAACTAATTCAGCAAAAAGAATAGAAGAACTGCAGAAATGTATGTATATCTTAAAGCATGAATATTGCAAAATTGCTATTTTTTTCATACTGCAGTACACTAATCCATGGAATGAGTCTTTGCATGCATTAAAGCTTTTTTTAAAATCACGTCACCATTTCTCTGTTGACTTGTTGAATTGCCACGGTCAGTATAGCAGCATAGACGGTGTAATATTATGCATAATTGTCATCGTGCTTGTTTACTGCACAGTGCATACACACGGTGACTGTTATAAGGCTGATTTTTCTGGTTTATGACTGATAATAGTTCCTGGGCCAATCCATCTGAAAAAAAAGCTATTGTCCAATGTCTTCTCTCTCAGCAAAATCATTTATCTTCTCATAAAGGTGTCAAATATTGCAAAGACAATATCCTAAAACATATGTGTGATGCTCTTACAGCCACATGAACAATATGTCAGGTTTGTGCATTCAGTCACTATCAAATAATTACCAAGAACATTTGTGAATCAGCTTTTTTGAAATTTCATTTCACTTCACCTTGCAGGGAACTGACTGGAGTGTTCTCAGTACCAAGTGAGAGGAATGGGACTGGGCCTAAATATTATAACCCTGCCTGTTAACAGCACCATCAGTCCCTGAGGCTCTGCCTGCTTCCCTTTTATTCCTCTGAGAGCAGGAAACGCAAACACACCTCTAGCACCTGCTTCTATGTCTCTTTGAGATTTCTTCATTTTAAACAGTGAAAAAGCCTTTGTGAGCCTTTAACTCAGTGGAACATATCTACCCATCAGTTTCCACGTCTACAGACTGACTTGTCTCAAACAGGATCATCTATTAAAAAACAAACTGCAGCTCTGACCCATAAACTTATTACTGAGATTTTAAAACTGTTTTTGAACTTTTTAAATTTATGTTTTATGTTCAAACTGTCAGAAAAGTTTCTGTTAAACAGAACAGAAAAAACATATTTGTTATATTATATATAGTGATATCTAAAACCCCTGGTACATAGAAAGATAACATTTAGAGTGTGAGGAGAAAACATCACAGTTTCTGATACTGTATCCTGGTAACACTATTACCTTCACCTAAGAGGATTTCTGTTCACCTACCTGTACCTCACTGTCCTTTATCCTTAATAAGTATTGGCGTAAATAGGACTTCCGATTTGAGGGGATCTGGGGAAACAGTAAAAAAAAAAAAATGAACTAATGGAAGACAAACAAACAAATTAAAATGCTCTCTAAAGAAAGTAATATGTAGAAATGAAGGAAGAGGAAGCTAAGGACCAAACCTTGTGGAACGTCAGAGACCAGATGGAGTAAAAACACAGGATTAAATGTGAGTCTGATAATAAGAGCTAATCATAAGGTAAAAATCTTTTCTCTCAAAATTTTTCAGCTCAATGGAAGTTAATCTTATATACTTTATGGTACAGAAAAAAACGAGGGAAACTCTGAAGAAGCAGATTCTGTCTACAATCAACACCCCTCCAACAATTACCACTGTGAATTAAAAATGTAGCCAAATTGTTATGGTATTTTGGACGGAAATCTCCAAATTATCTCCATTCCAGCTTTGAACTAAATAGTATCAAAAATGTATAGTAAATAAATGTTTAGATTTAGATAAATTCATTAATCCAACCAGAGGCAATTTGTTGGTTTTAATGTTTAACAGCTAATATCTAATGGATTCACTTTGGCGGGAGGAGCAGTATGCTTCCCATTTATTGAACCAGTCTCTAATCGTCACAAATGTCCAAAACCAACATGTTCTCTGTTATTTCTTTCAAGATTTAAAACAAGAAACCCAGCTGCTCTGTTATTTCCTGTTTCTGCAGCTTTGATTACCATTTAGATGGCAAAGTGGAATTCATTATTGCAGGAGGGAGCAGCATCCATTTAATGTGTGGAGTAAGATTTGTTACTGTCATGTTTGGCTTCAGGTGCCTAACCCACATGCAGAACACTCCGAGACAGGATAAAAGTTCAATGGTTTATTTAGAAGATGGAATACAATAAATAAACAGATCCCAAGGGGAACTCGTCTGGTCACGAGTGGATTCAGAAATGCACACAGAGTTAACAGGTCCAGGACTGGTCACGAGTGGGTTCACTGCAGAGGGGGACAGAGGAGTTAGTGGAGGTCCAGGTAATTTGCAGGATGAGAGTGTGCAGGGCTGTACCTGTACAGGAGTTGAGCTGAGCGGCTGAGGGGGGAACCTAGAGGGTCCAGAGGCTATCGGCAGGCTGAGGGCTAGGCGGAGGCAGAGCTTGGTTTAAATGTTGGCAGATTACCGATTAGAGTTTCCCTTCCGGTTTCTTCAGAGAGCGGGCAGGCAGGTCTCTGACAGGAATAGTTTTCCATTGTTCTTCAGAGAACAGACAGGCAGATTAACGGCAGAGATACTCTTCTGGGTTTCAGGTTTCAGACAGGTTCAATCTAGGAAGCAGGTTCAGGTTCTGGTTCTGGTTTTCAGGAAGTCAGAGATTCAGACAGGCAGGTTGGCTCAGGCTTGCTAACCGTAACTGGCAAACACTCTGGCACTGGAGAGAAGTCCTCTGCCTCCTTAAATAGAGATCTCCTGATAAGCAGATGAGCGACAGGTGGTTGCAATCAGCTCCGGCTCCAGGAGATCTAGTACGCCCTCTGGTGGAGAAAGTGGACAGACCTCCAGATCCCAACAGTACCCCCCCTCAATGACCGCCTCCTGGTGGTCCAAATAAAGTAGATGGCAGAGACTCACGGTATTCTCTAATCAGGTCAGGGTCGAGAATAAAGGATCCAGGAACCCAAGTGCGATCCTCCGGACCGTAGCCCTCCCAGTCGACCAGGTACTGCCAGCCGCGGCCCCGGCGATGGGAGTCTACGATCCGGCGGACGGTGAAGGCAGGGTGACCATCAATGTCCCGGGCGGGTGGAGGGGAGTCGGACGGAGGACACAAAGGGCTGGTCAGGACAGGCTTAATCTGCGAGACGTGGAATGTTGGATGAATCCGGAGAGAGGATGGCAGATGCAGGCGGACGGCAGACGGGTTGAATACAGACTCGATTTTGCACGGACCGATGAACCTGGGAGAGAGTTTGCGGGACATGGATTTGAGAGGGATGTCACATGTGGAGAGCCAAACCTGTTGTCTGGGTGTATAGGTGGGAGCAGGACGTCGTTTGCGGTCAGTGTATTTTTTGTTTTGAGCAGATGTCCGGTTCAGAGCGGCAATGGTGTCTTTCGAGATCTTATGACAACAGCAGATGTGGTGCTGAACTGATGGAACGGAAATTTCCTTTTTGTCGGTGGGGAACAGGGGTGGCTGATAACCTAGAGAGATTTCAAAAGGGGACAGACCGGTTACAGAAGATGTGTGAGAATTATGTGCGTATTCTACCCAGTGTAGATACTGGCTCCAGTAGATCGGGTTGGTTGAAGTGAAGCATCGGAGGGTTGATTCCAGTTCCTGATTTAGATGTTCAGTTTGACCATTGGATTGTGGATGATAACCTGATGTCAGAGAGATTTATGTGTCAAGAGCAGAACAGAAGTGTTTTAAGACCTGTGCGGTGAATTGAGGCCCTCTGTCCGACAAAATCTCCTGGGGAATTCCATGGAGCTTGAAAATGTGTTTGACCAGAAGCTGCGCTGTTTGGAAGGCAGTCGGAAGTTTCCTGAGGGGAACAAGATGACAGGCTTTTGAGAATCGATCTATTATGGTGAGGATGGTGGTCATACCTCTGGATGCGGGCAAACCGGTCACAAAATCCACGGCGATGTGGGACCAGGGGCGAGATGGAACAGGTAGCCGATGAAGAAACCAGAGGGAGGTTGGTGTGAAGGTTTATTTCGAGCACAGGTGGAACAGGCTAGGACATACTCTTTCGTATCCTTGTGAAGGGATGGCCACCAGAAACGGCAAGAGATCAGGGCAATGGTTCTGCTTACACCGGTGTGAGCAGAAAACTTGGCTGAATTCATCAAGTGGATGAGACGGGACCTGACAGAAGAGGGAACATAGGTTTTGTTGGGTGGACCATTACCTGGTTCGGGTTCAGAAGCTTGGGCCAGTTTTATTAAATCAGAGATTTCCCAGGAGACAGTAGCCACCGTGCAGCTGGCAGGGAGAATGGAGTCCGGAGTTTCAGGTTTGTTGGGCGAGTACAGGCGTGAGAGAGAGTCGGGTTTGATGTTCTTGGAGCCAGGCCGGTAGGAGATAATCAGGTTAAATCTTGAGAAGAACAGTGACCAACGGGACTGACGGGGACTGGATCTCTTAGCAGATTGAATGTATGATAGGTTTTTGTGATCTGTCCATACCAGAACGGGTGCTCTGTGCCCTCCAGCCAATGCCGCCATTCTTCCAGAGCCAGTTTATTTGCTAGGAGTTCTCTGTCTCCGACATCGTAATTTTGCTCTGCGGGCGAAAGTCTGCGGGATAAAAATGTGCATGGATGAGTTTTTTGGTCAGAATCAGATACTTGGGACAAGACTGCCCCCACCCCAGAATCAGAAGCATCCACCTCCAATATGAACTGCTTGGAGGGGTCAGGTTGGACGAGGATGGGTGCACTAGAGAACAGGGCCTTGAGTTTCTTAAATGCAGCCTCAGTCTCCGCAGACCAGTGAAAATTCCTATTAACAGATGTAAGGGCAGTCAGAGGCTGAGCTGTCTGGCTGTAATTTCGGATGAACCTTATGTAAAAGTTTGCAAACCCCAGAAACCTTTGTAGTTGTTTATGATTCTCAGGAGTGGGCCAGTCCAGAACCGCCTTGATCTTGTCCTCAGATGGCTTCACCTGCCCGCCCTCAAGCACAAAACCTAGAAAGGTGACAGAAGGACGGTGAAACTCACACTTTTTAGCTTTGACAAACAGCTTGTTTTCAAGGAGTCTTTGAAGAACCAAACGGACGTGCTTCTTGTGTTCAGACAGGTTTTTGGAGTAGATCAGAATTTCATCAATATAGACAAAAATGAAGATGTTTAAAAAATCTCTCAAAACCATTAACCAGGGCCTGGAAACAGGCAGGGGCGTTGGTTAGACCAAAAGGCATCACTAAGTACTCGAATTGGCCTAGAGGAGTTTTAATCATCTTTAATCATCTCCTTCTCTGATTCTGAGGAGATGATAGGCGTTTCTTAAGTCCAACTTGGTGAAAACAGTGGCTCCTTGGACGGGTTCAAAGGCAGAAGCTAACAGGGGTAGAGGGTATTTGTTTTTAACAGTAATTTGATTTAGACCTCTGTAATTGATACAAGGTTGCAGGGATCCATCCTTCTTTCCTACGAAGAAGAAGCCGGCCCCAAGAGGAGAAGAAGAAGTCCGAATTATACCGGCACCTAAGGACTCATTAATGTACTTTTCCATGGTCTCTCTCTCGGGCTTGGAAATGTTATAGAGTCGACTATTTGGGGGGGGGGGCTCCAGGTAACAGATCTATTGCACAGTCATAAGGTCTATGCAGGGGAAGAGAAAGCACACTAACCTTACTGAAAACAGGTGCTAGGTCATGGTAGTCAGGAGGTACAGAGGAAAGATCAGGCGGGTCAGCCTCCTGACGGCTGGCCGGAAACTGAGTTGAAGGTGCGACGGAGCGGAGACAGGAAACATGGCAGGATGCAGACCAGGATTCAACATGTCTTTTGGACCAATTGATGTGTGGATTATGAAGTTGAAGCCACTCAAAACCAAGGACTATGGATGAACTGGCTGACGGAAACACGAATAAGGATATTGTTTCTCTGTGATTGCCGGAGATTAACAGTTCGAGCGGCTTAGTTTGGTGTGTGACATGAGGTAATCTTTTACTGTCGAGGGCCGAAACTCTCAGAGGTTTATTCAAAGGAGTGGTTTCTATGTTCAATTGTTGAACCAGACCGGAGTCAATTAGATTTTTCTCACAACCAGAGTCTATTAATGCAGAAAGCGTGAGGGATTGATCTGTGAGAAACAGAGTAGCAGGTAACAGCAGGCGAGGAGATTTCTCAGTTTGAAGATGGTCCGCCAGACTCCTCATTTCCACTGGTGGACCCCGGCTTTAACCTTGGCTGGGCAGGTTGAAACAAAATGACCTGGTTCTCCACAGTACTTGCAAAGGTTCCCCTTACACCTTCTTAGCCTCTCCTCGGATGTGAGCCTGGTGTGACCAATCTGCATTGGCTCCAGGAGATCTAGTACGCCCTCTGGTGGAGAAAGTGGACAGACCTCCAGATCCAAACAGTTACTCAGTCTTACTGCCTCAATCTAAAAATAAAACAACACTCATAGGTGGAAAACCTCGAGAGATCCCTGACTGTAAGGTGAGCTTCTGTCATCTAGTGCAGACAGGCTTCAATAGACAGGCCTTTTTATTATATGGGCCCCTCAGCATCAGATTGAAATATGTAAGATGCACCAAAGACTATCAGTTACATTTTCAATCATTTTTATTGCAAAATTGCAAAAGGAAAATATCCTAAGGTGAAAAATTTAAATATAAATTAACTTTAAACATTACATAAATAATCATCTCCTCAAAATAATTACAGCTCATTTAAAACAAAACACTTAGCTGTATCTATGTACACATCAAAATAAAATAGGTTTTGGATCCTGAAATTATATTTGTATTTGGTTTCTTACTAATAGAAATAATCTCACTTTATTAAAGCATAGATTATTTTTGAGAACTGATTTTTCATCCATTTTTACATGTAATGACAATAAAACATGTATTTGCAGTTTGCTGTGTTGGCTGCTTCAGGCTGTTCATAAGAAAAGATTCATTGCTAATGGTACCAATAATGACTGTAATTCAGTTTAACATAAAAATCTAACTGAACTATTTTAATGCTGACAGTGATTTTAATTCAGGCTGCTGGAAGCGACTCAATGTTTGCCTTCAATTGTCCAGGATCCAGAACAAACTACTGCAGGATTTTTATGTAGCAAAAATAATGTTTACATTTTCATATACATAGAAATGGCCTAATAAAAATGTTGCTCACCTTCTTCCCAGGTAGGAGGGGTCAGGGGAAAAAACATTTTCATGATGATGAAGGGACAAAGACAGTTATTTAATGTAAATATCCTGCTAAACATCTACCAGCGTTTAGCTGATGTTAACCTCCTGATGACTATGGCGTTTTCCTGTTTCCTGGTCTGGTTTGTAAAGGTAAATTCTCAGCTCTGTGGATTTTCTGTCTCAGTTGTTTGGCCTCTGTCTTATTAACAGACACACGATAGAATCATTACAAAGGCTGGATTAATCCTGTTTTAACGTTTCTGG